GCATCTGGTCGCAACTAACAAAAGAATTTTACTGATTGGTAACTTTACATTGTCATTCTGGGTTCTTGCAGATCAACACGACAGTGGAGGATGATGAAATAAGGAAAACTATGTCAGAAGCACAATACATTACTACGGTAATTACAATTATACACACAGCGTACCTGATTATGTTACACGGACACAATATTCTGTATACCGAGAACTATAATCAATGCCTGGGTCCTTGTGGAAAGAAAGGAAGAATTAGTAAGAGCATTAACAAGTGAGGTATGATATCATCTAAAGAACTGAACGCAACATACAAACAAATGTTCTAAGTACTTCTAAGTACCTGTAACTATAACAACAAGATGTAGCTCCGCTAGAAATTTGTTAAATGCTCTGAAGAGAGATTATTTGCATTAAGCAACCTCCCCTTTTCCAGACTGATCAGTCATGCAAAACAAAATTCGAGATGCATGTTAAAGTACGTTTGAAGCAAATTATTCACTAAATCGAAGAAACAGGTTTCCGCGATACTGAATGGGATGAAGAACACAGAATTAGCGGCTTTTACAAATTCCAGCATTTTTAGTCACTGTGACAAGACTCGTTATTTAAACTCTGCCTCTTATATCTTGCGGAAAATCCTGAAACAGTGATCTGCAAGAACATGTATTCAAATGTTAAAAGATAAAAAAACAAAGAACAGAACATGTACGTTAAAAATCTACATCTGAATTTTACAACAATTTAATTTTTGTGGCAAACTTTTCATCTCTCTAGAATTTTATTGAAAGATAAGGAAAATTATTAACTAAAAGTTTGAACAGTAATTATTATTAATAATTCTAAATGGCTTCTGTAAAAGACTTTTAACTGCACCTGAAACATACTATGCACAAATTACAAGTTGAAACTGTGTAGATGCAAGCCCAGGACACTCACTACAATGTAAAGACGTGTGATGTACCTAAAATACCATTGTACAAGTGTCGTAACTAAACAGGAAAGAATTCTGTTGTCACATAATGCATGCATCCTTCAACAAACGAAGGGACATTAACCGAGGCTATATTTCTCAATTTAACACATGCACTAAACGGCACTGCTGTTTATTGAAAAGGTCTGCTAAATGCAGTCCTAACAACTTGATAAAAGATTAATTATTCATTTACAAACTTGCACAAAAAACCAAGAAATGTGTACGAATATTCCAAAAAAATAAGTATTTCCACCCAAAACATCACCATCAATAAATTGAAACCAATTGTAATAAAAACAAAGGTTTAATTTCCTTATTAAATTCTTGCATATTATTACATCAGCAACTTCTCTGTGTTACAGCATCCTAAGATGTTTCCACTTTATGTACGTTGTCCGTCCCAATAAGCTTATATAACAAAATAAAGAAACTGAAAACCTGATTTCCCAGAATTTATCAATGTATGAATTCACTATCCTTCAAGTTTCTTTTTCTAATTTCAAAAGTTTGCATGTTTTATTTTCTTTCTGCCCAAATATCACTGCCACAATTTTTTTGACAACATTAAGGAGCTCAAATGAGATCAACAACTGATATATGCTAAAACCTGCTAAACATTGTATATGGTTTTTTTTTAAGTTATTTTGGGTTTATGCTTAGTCCTGTGAACAGGGGCTTCACTTCTGAGCCAGTGCTTAAGAAACTAAAGAAAATTATTTTTATGGATATGCAGAAACCTGAGACTCAAAAGATACATGACTAATCTTAAAAAAAACTGTCCTTCATAACAATATAAGCTAGTCTTTTAAACAATTAAAGAATATTAAAATAGATAACACGTTAAATACCAAGATTTTACGTAACTTTCTGCCGATTTTCTTCAAAACGGATTGTGTTACATTTTTTATGCAATAAAGTTTAATTACTAAACAGCAATGCCATTTTTAAGAAATATAATGTAAAATTTCCTTATTTGTATTGCTGAAATAGGCATTTATTAAATGTAATTGTTTTCCTTGTTTCAAACTAATAGAACTTTCCACACATTTTACACATTAAAATTACTGTTCTAAATACTGGATTTCATCCTCAGATAAAAAAAACTCGCTAAATAAGAAAACTTGGAGCACCGTAACATGGGTAGAAACTTTCTTATGGCACTAATGTCATATTACCATGTCAAACAATTGTGTGGTATTGACCTCACAGGATAGTACTTAACGCCTACTGAATCAGAGAGACGACGCGTCCTCAGACGTGATGCGACACGTTACACCTTGTGTCACGCAGTTGCACACCACAACATGCTTGGCACGTTACATCCTCTTACAATTTTGACAACTCAAAACACTGAAAACTTACTCGTTGTAATAAAATTAACTACATAAACACTATTTTGGCTACAATTCAGTCACACAACCAAACATACTGTTTATTAATACGGTATTAATATTATTGTGAAGACAGCAGTACCAACAGCTGTTTTACCTTTGTTAACCTTACTGGTAAAGTAGTTACTGAATTATGAACGGGTAAGTTGGGAAGTTAATAACAATAATAATAAAAAAGATTGCAATAGATCATTCTTTCAGATAAATGTTTGGTCCCTCAAGCTCGATAGTTATTAAATTGTCAGGCACTCAATTCTCGTAAAATTCACGAGGAATTTGTTACTGTGTTTTACTGGAGACGTTAACAGAGGGCATTGTTATACTGGTTTTCTGATGTTATTTGTTAATTCTGTTAAAAAAAAAATTGAAAATATAATATAAATACATGGAAATTGTTTAACCATCACCAACATTTGATTTTTATATAGCTTTCATTATATTTATTTAAAATGGGCTCTATAGCAGCTACTAATACTTTCAGTAATATAAATACTTTAAACACCCATCACCAGTTTGAAAGTCTTCATTGTAATACAATAAAAAAAAAGTTAAATAGAAAACTCTTAATAAAACATTGTCACGTTCATTCAACTTTCACACAGTAAATCATTCAAAACAACCTACGAACTGATCACGCCAAGAAAAAAACACACATTTACTATATTAAGACATATGCCAATTATACAATATATAAAAATTCCTTCACAAAATTAAAACAAAACATCACTAATCCCCGAGTCTTAACTCGGATGATCCACCTACATATCACTAACATGTTTATAATATTTATATACATATTTATATTGTATATAAAAAACACGGGACTAATTATTAAAGTTTATTTTCTTCTTTGTGGTTACCTGCACTGTCACACACTTAAAAGAAAGTCATCACCCTGGAACAGTTCTGCAGAAACAAATTTCTCATACGAATATTATACCGCCCAACACTGCGCAGGCAAACTGCTGAAAAGCCGAGGCATGCTTCCCCCTTTTTAAGTTGTACTTTGACTCTTACGCAAAATTACATCCTTCCGAAACACTGATCCGATCAGACTATGCAGTTAACGCATATTGAAAATTATAATACTATCAAGACACGTCATGGAAACTCCTAAGCGGAAGAAAAAGGGGGGGGGGGGGAGAGAGAGAATGAGAGAGAGAGATGTAAAGAGTTGCAACTTCTGGTCCAGTAAATCATTCAAATAATAATTTTTCATAATCATTGTTCACGTATTAGAAGGTATATCATAAAAAGAAATAAGATTTCATTCATTGAAAATGAAATAAATAAGATTAAATAATTTGTAAATAAGACAGTATCAAAATTCTAACACTAATTACCTAGGCAAATGTTTTAATTTTACAAGAAGGATGTGATTAAACATTTTGCTAACAGCTGGAAATGCTGTTTTCTTTATGCTTCTACAACTTCGATAATGTTACTGAAGGCACTTGCCAAGCAATAATTGGGCAGCGTAATAAAACTCTCGCTATTGTTGGTCAATGTTCGATCTGGCAGACAGCAGACCTCGGTGGGGCCGCTCCTTCGTGCCGTGCATTTACAAGCATGGGCTACCGTTGGTCAGGCCATCGCGCATGCAACCAGTGGTTCACACCCCAACCGTGACCCACCGCTGCTCTGGAATGACCAACGGAGATCTTGACACACGTCCGTACAACTTCTGACCACACCCATAAACTTCTGCTTACATAAACTGTGTTCACATTAGAGAGTATTTAAGCATACATAATGTTCAAACACCATTTGAAAAAGGGAGTCTGAATTATGTCAGAAAATCTGATGCGTTTTAATTATGCAGGCAGAAATAATGATTAAATAATTTTGCTAAATTTCCTAGATCTAACTATGAGATGGTGGACTAGAAGAGGATTACACAATTATCATTAGAAAATTCTAATCTGTGCACTGTTTTGCGTGCTTACGAGACACAATCATTACCATGAGGGGAAAACAAGAACTTACGAAAATATTGCTATATCTGTTAGTTTGAAGAGGTTACGATGGACTAAATATGGATCTCGGATGCAGTAAAACTCACACACATAATTTCTATGAAAATTTTGGAAAGCAACTATTTGAAAGATCAAGACTGAGATTTAGGCAATATTAAAAAAGAACCTGAAACAAAAATCTTCTGGTAGAAGTGAAACTGACTGTTTCATTCCAACGACAAAAACTTTTTTAAGTTAATAATGTTGAATATTTGGGTTTAGTACCTAATGGATAGTAAAACTTGAAAATAAAGTATGCTAAAGTACGCTAGACTAAGCCATAAACTATACGATCAACAATACTTCTGCCTACATCAATTGCATGTTTCTAAAACAACTTTATGAAACTACTACTGCGCTTTTGCCACTATAATGATTATAATGAAGTCTAGTACCATGAAACATGATAAATTTCTGCTAAATGTCAAGCAGCCATTGTGGTACTTTCTTCTGAATGCTGTATGATAAGATAGTGATGATATTTCAAAAACAAAAACCTACGTTCCATCCGCTGGACCCTACGGTTATACCCCGAGTACACCGTTGTTCTCAAGGCTAACACGGATACTGACGTAAAATTTAAGGCAACGTGTCCCAAATTTTTTCTTGCATCCCTGCCCAATTACTTTCAGTGTTCGAACAGTTTCGTAAGTTTCAAATCCAGAGATAATTATGTACCAGTCACACATTACAAAATTTCCATTATTCCATTTCATTAGCGTTGCTTTCAGTGACGTCAATCAGTCTGTTTTTATATTTTCTTCTAAACTTCTTTGTACACCCAACAAATCACCAGAACACACAGCGAATATGCAAAAATTTAAATAACTAACTACACATTAACAAACTTCTTGAGAGTCAAGGAATTCCTCGCCTTTTAGAGAACCCGACGGATCATTACCGTCTTAACAAGACTGGTCTCCATCCTGAGAGATGAATCAAATACATGACCTTCAATCCTGTTTCCCTATGATCCATTTTAATATTATCCTCCAACCTATGCCACATCATCTGCTTTACAACAAATATTTGTATGCGTGTATCTCGCCCATGCACATTAAATGCCCTTATCATCTTTACAAATGTTAACGGATAGATAGGAGCAACGGTCTGCAGTAACTGCTGGTTTCATTCTTGATTATGGTTGCATCTCACAGCGTTAATTAGAATCGCAGGACAGCAGTAACCACATCTGTTCACATCTACTATCTGAAAATGAAAATGATTACTTCCTACATGTGAAATCAAGTTTTGGAATTTATGTATGCTTCTGGGTGGACTGCGCACTAAACTTGCAAGTGTTAGGTTGGTACCAGACTTCACGTTTCATATACTTAGTGGCAAAAACCCTGGCAATCATACAATTCACTGCAAATAAAATCTGCTATAAATAAGAGAAAATTAATGAAAATTGTAAATATCTAAATATGTCAACTCCCACTTCATTTCCCAGTTTCTTCCTTTATATCAAAATTTTGCGGACCTCGGTCAATTTAAATAGCATACTTTGAAAAAAATACTCTAACCAGGAAAATGACAGCATTCTTCAATCACTTGCGTGCGACACGATAAATGCAACAAATGTCTCGTGAGGACAGATTCTAAAGGGGGAGGGGGGGAAAAAAACTGTACAAATGTATAAATATTATATCAATAACTATTAAAAATTGCAGTTACTACTCTTGGTTTAAAACCAAGCCACCTGGTGGAGAACATACTGAATTAATTTACCATTCCTATGAAAACATAGCGGCATATCACACATGATACACACTGACGTGTTCTTGGAACATGACTATATCAGCGGTAATTAATTAAAAAAATTACCACATTGTGATGTCTGCAATGACAACAAAAAGTAACTACAAATCGATTACTACCACTACATACTGCCCACTCGCCAGACAGCTCGTCAACCGAGGAAAGAATCAACGTGAAGCGGTATTACTGTAGAAATCTACGTTCGTACCGTGAAATGATTGGAACTCAACTGAAAATTCATAAAATTGTTCAGATAATGACGCTTACTAAGAAGTTGAGCTCCAGTGGATGAAGTGGGAGTATAAACACCTAGTCAAAAACAAAGGAACAGTTGCTGCACAGTATTACAGTGCCGTGAAGACAAATCAGCGATCAGTACGTCATATTTTGAACAGAAATATATCACACTGACTAAACTTAGTGTTACGTCATTGGGCTATTTTTCTTCTTGCTTCCCGGGACACAGCTCAACTCCTCAGTAAACTACAATACAGACATATGTAAATTACGGCACGAGAAATTGTTCAGCGAGATAAAACACATCAAAATTCACCAATATTTTGAGCGTTGTTGATCACATTTAAGAAAATGCTACAATTACAACTTGCAGGTTGATTCTTTCATGTTGAGTACTGTACACACAGTCAAAACTTACGTGCCAGGCCTCGTAAGAAGAAGGCAAGGGGAGGCAGACAGTGTTGAATCCACCAATATACAGGTGGGGAAACATTTCATGTGTTGACACATAAAGCTCGAACCTAAAAATCAACATTATTTCTCCACTGGCACAGTGGGGAACGACGGCAAAAATATTTGCCGACGTGCAAACAAATGAGTGGTCGATGTGATGAGTAAAGCTTAGGCCTAAGGCTAGGTTTTCTCCACCCATGTCAGTACAGAGGGGGGAGGAGGAGTCAATGTCAACGTGCAAACAACCCACCCGAGTGTTCCGCCGCGGCGTAATCTGTAAGAAGTGGCGATGCTGCCAGGGCTGCATAGTTGGCATAATCAGCATATGGCGTGTAGATGAGCCCATGTGGGTCGTGGGGTGAGAGAAGTGGCCCTTGGTGCCCTGATCCATTCAGAAGAGAAGCTGCTGTTGTGGGTACAGGGAGCCTGGGGGACAGGATCAGTGGCGCGCCCAGAGGTGTGCCAGGGTTACGCATCGGCGTCGCCAAGCCCGGCATCCCTGGAGACAGCAGTCGCTGCGTCTCTGCCGCAGCTGCCGTCAGCCGTCGCCACTCCTCATCACAAGCTGTAAGTCAGCACATAAGTCACCTTCCATAACAAATTAACGTGCATTACTTTCATCGACCAATAAGACGAAAAGTAATTTCAGGATCACAATAACACATTTTATAACCAACTAACCAACCAAAAAAAAGTTCATGCAACTAAAATTAACTAAATATGAACAGCATGCCATGATATTCCTCCTCTTCTTCGCAACTTCTGACTTCCTGTAAACAAGAGTGCCAACATGCTGAACGAAAGGTCTCTAGTTTTGTGTGGCAATAGATCCTTATTTGGAATTTGTTAAAAAAAAAGCACAATATTCACACAAACATCATCTGTGTCTGGGAGCTATGAAGCTGCAACACAAAATGTTCTAAACATAATCAAAAAGTGACAGTAAAACACCTACAATGATGCTAAAACATGCATTTACTTACTAAAGTGTATCTAAAAGTTCAGAGGATTATGCACGAAAACTATCAAAATGGAACACGAGAAGTCAAAAGAGAGACCGAACTGACCGGCAGAGAACGGCATGAATACCTGCTGCTGTTGCCACTGCTTTGATGCTCGAATCCCGATACGTTCCGTTTATGATGGCCAGCTCCATCAGCTGTCTCTTCTTAAGCTCGTCTTCTCCATCGGCCTGTAAACAGTGGAGATCGGCCGACGTCAAGACAGGTTACTGTTCCCAGTTGAAGTAAAGCAATAAGAAATTCTTGTATGACGCTGCTTCGTCACTTACTGAACGAAGACCCTGTTACCTGTCTCCCAATATTTATTGTAAATTTTCATACTTTCCACCCTTCTCACACACACACCCCCTATGAAACAAATTTGGAAAGGTTTACTCCAATTATGAGTATAATACATAATACATTCCAAATGCAATTGAATAAGAAAATAAAAATTTCTGGAATGTATTTTTCCTGCAGTTTTTTATACTTTTAAATGATTCAGTGATTCTAACACAGCGACATTTACATGACGGACGTGCGCCAGCCGAAGCTGGCTCTAGGTTGGAATCCACTCACCACGGGAATCAGAAGTTTCTTGACTTCGTCAACAGCTCGCTGCATCTTCATGGTAGCTCTGTTCTCCGTGTCCTCCACTGTGATCAGGACATGCAGCTCGTCATTCAGGTGTTCCCAGTTCGGCTTCCCTCTGTTAAGCTCTTCCTGCGACCAAACAAGCACCAGTGTTACAGGAAGAACAAATCTAAAGCTAACTGTACAATTTTGTTCAACATATTAAAACACCCCCTTCCCTAAAAGTCACTCAACTGCGTTAATTTTCATCCAAGAGGAAAAAAAGTCTCAGTTCAAATTAACTGTAAACTGTAAGTGTGTGAAAATTACTGATAATAATCAATAAGAATTACTTCAGTGGTTGGTAATTAATAGATTTTAACATTGCCCAAACACAATTTGTTTCAACATACTAAAAAAAAGTACAGTCCAACCTGGGGCAGTACGACCAACTTGCTTGAGCAGTGGAGATAAAAAATCCCACTTAATACACTAATATCAATTTTACTGTGCTCAGTTAATTATAATAATTCTGATCGAAGCAACATCCTAAGAGAAATGTAACGATTTGCTGCTATTATATTTTTAGTCACCGAAATTCTATAAAAATTACGGTCTTAAAGGTAATTTGCATTAATTCAAGTTCATTAACAAATGAAATTAAACCAGCTGTTAAATATATCGTCTGGTAAAGTTGTTCATAAAGCACCTAACAGCAGGACCAAAATCCATCATGGCCGTCCACCTACCTTGTTCGTGCATCAGAAACTGAGAATAAGTTATTTGCATTAATTTTCTATCTTGACAACATCTGATTTGTTGAGTGACGGGTTACAAGCACACAAACAAATTCTACACTTAATATTATTAAAATATTTTCAAAACAACAGATTAATAGCCAACGCAACAAAGAAAGAAACATACCAAAAATAACCGAAATAAATTGTATAATGGTATTTACTGCAAACTATTATTTGAATTAAGTAATAAAATGATCCCATTGTTATGTGTCTTTCAGTATTGTTGAAATTAAAGTTTTTCCAAGCTATAATTTCTGTTAACTCCGTCCAATAAAAGCACACAATGTTCATGGGTTTCAAGGGAAGGATTAGAAAAACAAACAGACAAGACAATTACGAAGTCGAACATTCTCGGAAACACCGATTACAGACATTATTACACCTCGTACACTGACAATCACAATTAAATAATGTGTAATGGTTTGTCAAAGTCCTTCAGAGGACAGAGACCAAAATGTCAAAACATTCTGCTTCCTATGCCATTAAATGCTTGAACAATAATGCCAACTTTCTATTAGTGTGTCTGTGTATTTTTTTATGCATAAATATTTATAAACAATGCCATGGCAACACTTTACGGGGGTTTTGGGCTCACGGTTCCCACTACATCTTCCGCCTGACTACCGATAACCAAAGTTTTTCTTCAGTTTCTAATACCTGTTATTGTAACAATGAATGTTTACCAGTTCATTTAGACGAAAAGTTCTGTTATTAAAATGCAAAAATTAATATTAGAATGATGGAGAAGGATTGCCACCAAACAGCCTTCACATTCAAAATACCTTACACCTTTCTGTAGTCTATCGCAGTGGTATTCAACCTGGGGTACGCGAAGACATCTTAGGGGGGTACGTGAAATTTAAAAAAAAAAAAAAATATTTTATGATAAACACTGAATAATCAGTAATGTAATTTATTTAATTTATCTTAGATGTAGATTATATACTATGTATAACTTTAATTATACACCAACAACTTCAGGGGTACAAAGTTGAAGAGAGATTATATTTGGGGGTACGCGAACAAAAAAGGTTGAATACCACTGGTCTAGCGTGCTCACAAAAATACATTACAAAAGACAGATACGCCACTGTCATCCCTGAAACGAACGAACGAACACTCTACAGTCTTTATTGAGATATTCGGTACCAATAATAAAAGACGGTAAGAAACAAAGCACATTACACACCACATAAAAAGAAAGGTACATAACACACTGTTTCAGATACTGAAAATAAACTGTCCATTATTTGCTTACTTACAGTTCACATTCCTATAAAATGCAGCTTGAAAAGTGAAAATAAATTCATCAGAAAGAATGCAAAACAGCAGATACAAACCAAACAGAGATGAATTTGTGCAAAGTGTAATGGAATGATATTTTTTAAATGTTGTTTATTATATTCAATTTTGCGAATATCTAAAATTATACTGCAAACAATTATATTCCATTTAGCGAATATCTAAAATTATACTGCAAACAATGGAGAACGATCTCAAATGTTGTACAAACTTTATGTTACGATATTACTACAGTAAGTAAAAAGTTATCATGAAAATTCATGACGGACTTGAGATAAAGCTAAATACACATCTTCGCTTCAAGTTGGCTCTTGTGTAAAAAAAAGGGTTGCTGACCAATGGTCCCATGAAGTTTCTGCTAGTAGCTCAACTGGTCAAACAATTCCCTGTCTCTGACAGAAACTGGAGGACAACGGAAGTCCTGAGCCACACGGATCCGGGTCTGCACCCCCCAAAACCCTATTTTTGTAAGATCCACTTCGATCTCCCCTTTCGTTTTTCCAACCAAGGTTTTGTGTGCGAACTCGTACACGATAAAGGGTAGCAGTTTGTCACTACAAAACTTTCCAAAATCAACCCTATTAACACTCAGAAGTACTTTCAAAGCATAATTACGAGTGTCTACTACCTCCTTAGCTTGGCTTGGGGGTGTTAATCGAGGATAGGTTTAAACACTTTAGTTGGAAAACCTGAAGGGAAGAGAGCGCTTGGAAAACATTTTTAAAATGGGCCTTCAACGAATAGATTACAATGGTGTGGATCAGATTCATGTGGTTCGGGATGATACAACGAATTTTCGGGTTCCATTCAGAATCAGGATTCTCGACTCACCGGGCAGCTCCAAAAAGCGAACATAATGCGGTGGGAGGGAGGGAGTGCTGTGTTCTGTGCTCGTTATTTTAAGAACAGCTGAAGGGAAGAAGCGAAAAACCTCTCGTGAAACGAAACACATCCGCCACACAAGAGGTCAGACGAACCGGTAAGAAAAACGCGCAATAAAAATATCTTTCTAAAAATGGAAACACTATTACGATATCACCAGATGAAAGGCACACGCGAGGGGGGCGGGAGGGGGCTAGCAAGCATCAAGTAGGGTCCAAATCTTCTTTTCACCGCGGATTATGCCAAAGTATGCTCCGACCTCTCGGTTTATCTTTCTAGTTGTCGTACGCGTGAATGAGCTTTCAGGTTCTCACGGCGACCGTCGTTTCAGAGGTGCTTGCTGCCTCCATCATCAGGACAATTTTTTACCAGACCACGCGGCGCAACATACCATAAGACAGACATCTTAAACTTTTCGGATTCCACGAAAGATCATATTTTCAAAGCAGTGTCTTAACACACAAAACTTCAATCTCACTACTCGCGGAGTACGTGCGTTGTACGTAACTCCAGATGTAATTACGCCTAGGGTAATCAAATCAAGGAAGACATGAGAGGGGAATGCTGCACATGTGCATATCAGATGGGAAACGCAAGTCAGCAAACCTGAAGAGAAGACATTGGAAGACCTACACACAGATGGGAGTACAATATTGAAAAGGATCTTAAAAAAGAGTGTGAGGGTGTCGGGTGCATTTATATGGCTCTTGTTAACACGGCAACGAAACTCCGGGTTCCATAAGAAGCTAAATGTATCTCGACTGGATAAGCAACTATCAGCGGAGTATCTACTGGTCCAAGGAGTGAGTTAAGTACTACACTTTCTATCCCTCTGTAGTCGTCTCTTCTGCCATCAAATGTCTGTGTGTGTTAATTTCAATTGTAATGTAAAAAAATAATTTCCCTGCTTGTTTAACAATGTTTCGCCATTTTTAAACCAATGTTTTCTTTTACATCTAATGTAGGAACTACCAACGTTTTACGAAATACCAGCTTCATCTCTTTGTAATGTTCTATTTACAGTCCAACATATTCTTCGAGATATCGATGTTTTATTAAGTTTGCACAGGTTAACATTTACATAAGTAGCGTCACATCCCAAGCACGGTAAAAGTAAAACGTTAAACTTGTTATATTGTTTAATATAGAATAATTTGATTCAACATTCTCCTTTGAAATATGTAACATTGTTATTTTTAAATGTTCACGAAAATTTTAATCCCAAAAATTCATCACTGTGAACATGGGGTCCAATCCTTAAAACTCACTGCCTTAGAATCGGCCACAACATCTTCATCCTTTTCTTAGAAACCTCCTTCGAAGATAGCTCTACGCCGTCTGTAGACCCAAGACAGATAAAGACAACTTCCCAACAGTAAGAAACGCAAATCTGATAACCTATTCACGAAATGTGGTGTATAAATCGCACGTTTAAACAGCAGGCCACAAGGTATACGTCTCTCCTTGTTCTAGGGAACCACAAGCATCTATCTCACTCCGACGCTGCACTGACGCCCCAACATCGCCCACGGAGTCAGCCAGATTTAGACACTTCCTGGTAAACAGCATCGGGGAGAAAGAGAGGATTCTGGGTGCTCAGCTCAGAAGTGGGTTTACGAGAACAAGAATACACCGGTTAAACGCAGGAGTCTGTGATTCTGGGGTGCTGTGAAAATAAGTTTCTTTTTCCCCAGACAAAACTTTCTCCAGAAAAATACTGCCGCCCTCATTGGGATCATCTTCAGACCTGAAGACGGAGGCATGAAGTTGCTCTGAAACTTTTGAATCTACCCGCAAGTCCGAACTGTGTTACTCCCCTTACGCTCAAGCCTCCATATTTGCATTCGTCACACTGGCAGAAAGTCACGAGACTTGGTACCTATTTTCACAAGCAATAACGACAGTAGGTCAGGTGTGAATTTCTCAGACTGTACTTAACCAGGAACTTCGGCTGCTGTTAGTTTTATTTAACGACAGCTCACAAGCCTGTCAAAACAAACTCTCCTCGCGCCATCTTTCCAGAGCAACACACACACACACACACATCCTGAAAGCTGTTAATTGCACGCATGTTAGAAGTCTTTGTGCCCCGAACATCAGACCCCAATCCTCTTAAATAAAGTAACTATAAATTCCATAAGATAAGGAAGCCAAGAGCACTTACTT